TCTCCATAATAATGAGTGGGGCACTGTGTCGAAGGCTTTTTTTCAAATCCACGAAGAACATGTAGCATTTTATTTTCTTTCGGCTTAGAGTCATTTGAATCAGGGATGATAGAGTGAATATATGGTCCTGACAAGAGTGGCCGGCCCTGAATCCCGCCTGGTTCTGAGGAACTATATTTCTTCTTTCGATCCAACTGCCTAGACGAGATTTGAGTATTGATGTAAATAATTTTGCTATATTGCTTAAGAGCGCTATGCCTCGATAGTTAGAGGGGTCGTCTGGATCACCATTCTTAAAAATTGGTTGAATAACTGATTTCAACCATGTTGTCGGAAATTCAGACGTTCTCAAAATTCTATTGAATATATCCTTTAAGGAGATTAGATAATCTTTTGGGAGGGCCTTTATTGCTTGATTCATTATGTCGTCAAAACCAGTCGCCTTGCCATGCCTTATTCGAGAAATTCCTTTGCTTATTTCATTAAGAGTTATGCATTTAGTTAGCTCATTATCTGTATTTAGAAGGGTCATAGTAACAGGTTCGTAATCTGGTATTGGTTCTGTATTCAGGAGTTTATTGTAAAATTGCTGCCAGTGTCCGATATTGAGATATTGCCCTGTGTATAGTTTATTTTTCTGAAGCGAGCTATTGTTTTCCAGAATTCACTTGAATCGTATGTATTATTTATTTTTTCTTGTATTTCACAGAAATATTTTTCCTTTTTATTGTTAATAATCGATATATATTTGTTCCTTGTTTTAACATATTCCAAACGATCTAGATCCCTATTAGATTTAATATATTTTGTCAGAGCTGCTTTCATAATCTTTTTCGCTATGTAGCACTCATGATCAAACCAAGGCTTCGACAGTGTGTTATTCGCTTTTATTTCAATTTGCATACCATTTTGTACCATTGCGCTTTTGATCTGATCAACCATGTTGTTCAATATATTCTCAATCGAGTTATTCCAAAATCCATAAGCTCCTCCTAAGTCCTCTACAAATAAATGTTATAATACCATGATAAAGGTTGGCGTTCAGCCAACTGAAATATTGGTATAATAAATGATATTTTGATCCAATATATGTCTTTTTATTTGAAGATTTATTTATGAATTGCTATATTTTCAAATAGATAGATTTTTAATGAAGGTTCATTCTCTGTATATTTCTGAATATATTAGAATATTTCGGAACAAAGATCATTTGGAAAATAAAGCTCTACAGACACAATTCTCTATCATATTAAGCTCTACTGACAAAGCATTTAACTAATGTATTCAATAAGTATTTTACTTTTTGACCCAGGTCTCAAGTCTTCAGCGAATATGATTAATAGTTTTCCAGAAGTGCATAAATATTCAATATTTCCTAAATTTTCAGAAAACCGGTTTTCCTGCTGATAGAGCAAAACCAGATTTATGGTGAAAACAATTTGCACATAGTTTATGTGTTCTTATTAGAGGAATAATATGTCTATACCTGACTCAACTCTAGCTAAAATAAAATTTTCTGTTCTATCAATCTCAATAGATTAAAATATGATTATTTATTTCCAGTGTGACGCTAATTTTATATTTTTTACAGATATATTATAAATTTATTTATAAAACAAAGGATAATTATATAATGTTGTCTGATTGATTTTTTAATTCGTAATATATGAAAAATATATCATCTGAATAAAGAGATTAATATTTCAAAGTAAAATTCTGAATTTATAGTAACCTCTGGTGTTTTAAGGAAATCTATGAAAATTCGAAACTATTATAGACGTGTATGATTCTTTTGAAAATTGAAATTTTTAATTTTAAAAGAATCATATGCGTATATAATACGCTATTATGTTTTCATAACAGATGAAGCTATGATGCCTTATAAGGAAATCTATAAATAAAATTGAGGGAAAAAAAAGGAAATATTAATATAATGGTAACATTTTTAATTCAATTAAACATAATGAAAAATGCATATCTTTATCGCGAACTAAGGGATGCCGATAGCCTAAGCCAATTGTCGAAATAGATAATTCCGTTTTGGTTTTTTTATTTCTGAATTTTTACTGAATATTCTTTGTTGATAAATCAAGAAAATGCAATCACTTATGGGGCCATGCTGTTTGTTCTCGAAATATTATACTGAAACTGAATTCTTACCTCACCGAAAGCTATTTAGAAATCATGATGAAAAATACTATTATTTTATTTTCAGGCAAAAATAATAGTGTATAAGCTTTAAATATTGCTTCCAAAATATTAATCACACAACAATATATCAACTTCTATAATAAACAGAAAATTTAATTTTAATTGTATTGGAAAAGTTATCTAAGTTACTAAAAGAACCTTTTGGCTCACGAAAATAATGAAGAGGGGCATAGTATTATCAAAATAAGATAATAAACGGCATTAAAAATTTTAGAATTCTATATTTCAAATTGATAATGAAATATCAATTTTGTATAGCAAAGAACTAATGATAAAAAGCTTATCAAAGTATACCATTTGGATGCTCTTGCTTAGAGAAACAGAGGAAATAAATTTTGGGTGACTTACCCTGGTCTCAACCTGACTGCCAACAAATTTGCAGCTGGATGAACACATTGATGGTTGATCAGGGTCTCTCCCTCGGTTTATATAAATTCTACAAGGCCGCAGTCAATGTCCGTTGGAGAATAATGGATTCGCCGAATGTCGTGGTTTGCTTGGAGGAAGAAAGCGAATATTGAATGCGGCTGATTCCACACTAGCCCTCTCAATGATATCCTAACTTTGACATACTCTAAACATTGGTACTTTAATTTAAATATTTAATCATGTATGGTTCCTTTTGCCCTGCATGTTTATTTTTTGTATATATGGCTATATTTATTTATTTTTTATTTTTTTCTTTCTTCTCTCTTTTCTTTTTCCTTATTACTTCTTGTATTTTGGGTTTTGCTTTTGAAATATCTTCCTTTGCTAAATCCCGTAGAGGGGAATCATGTATAGGGCTGGATGCCCCAATAAAAAGGCTTGTGTGTGTGTGTGTATCAAAGTATACCCTCAATTTATAAATAGGGTAAAGACAAATTTTGAGTTGACGCAGCAATTTGTTTAAGGAACAAGCACAAACTAAAATTCATAAAATAGAAGAGAATCAATATGGGGAAGTATAAAGTGTGTAGCAAAATATAAATATCGAAATTTATAATCTGTTCATAGGAATAAATATTTCGCAAAAATATTGATAATGTTTTGGTGAATTTAAAAATTCAAATAATTTCAGCAGTATATTCGTTTTTATATTCAAAAATATTTGTATTTGTAGTAAAAAGGCATATATTGGATTGAATAAAAGATTTATTTGCAAATATTCCGGTTAGCTGAACGCCAACCTTTATCGAAGCATTACATCTTTGTATACACAAACTCAGCGCCGTATAGTGTTACCAAATCTTCTATTCAATCCAATATATGTTTTTTATAATATCTAATGATTTAGGTATGGATTGATCAATTTTATAAACGATTTATATTTGCATATCTTAAAATTTTCATGATTATCGATCTATTCTATCTATTGAAATTACGTGATTTTATTTCAATGTTCTAGGAAAACTTATATACACCTTGAAGAGATTAAAATTCTAAAGGTGATTGTTAATGTACTCTATGGAAACAATAATAATCTATTGAAAGATCAAGATAAAATGGTTCTCTCAAGATTTATATTATTCTCTAAAAAAGGAACTAATTTTAACTGGATTCAAAATATTTGTTCAATTCGATAAATCCAACTGCCAAGTACGTGAATTATTCACTTCTGCACTCTTATACCCTCCATTTAATCCATTTAACATTTCCCATTTGAATAAACCAGAATAATCAATGCATCAATTTGATATACAAAATATAATGCTTAGCAAGAATTCATTAAATGGTATTGCATTCATGAAATTTTATTATATAATCCTATATTTGAATAATTTCAAAATCATTCTCGAAATCCCTATATTATTATGATTTTGTGAAAAGAACATCGTATCTGAAATTGATGATCTGATAATATTTTTAAATATTTCAAACTAGATTTTTTCAATATGTCATTGATACAATATAAGACTACTAGACGAATGGCCCGGGCAACGCCCGGGTTTTACCCGAGTGCGTATATATTTTAAAAACGTTTTAATTCAAATACTATTCGTTACAATTATAAATTGGCGCCGTGGATGTCTCTCTTGTGAAACGTCCCGCCCCAAACTGTGTGTGTCTTGAAAATATAAAAATAAAAATGTGAATTTTCATAGAGATTTCATCATGTCGATTTTTTTTTTTTTTGCATTTCACCTACTAAATCGATAGAGATAATTACATTTGCAACATGAACTTAGGTATATTGACTAAATAGAAAAATGCATAGTAATAAAGATCATTTTTTAAAGGCACCATATCGTTTTTTTTTTCAATAAAATCGAAACAAAAATTAACGATAAATAACGATAATTGCCTTAAAAAGAAATTGCCTTAAAAAAAAAAGAAACATTCGCGGTGATTTTGTCTTGCATTCGTTTATACAATTATTATATACGAATGACCCGGGCAACGCCCGGGTTTTACCCGATTAAATGATTTTATTCAAATACTATTCGTTACAATTATAAATTGGCGCCGTGGATGTCATTCTTGTATAATATATAAATGAGTTTTAAAAATTGTAAAAAAAAAAAATGCATCGGCCGGGAATCGAACCCGGGCCGCCCGCGTGGCAGGCGAGCATTCTACCACTGAACCACCGATGGTTATGAAAATTCCCATCCGTGAGCTTCAGACAAACAAACAGACAGAATAAGGCAAATATATAAGTAGATACGAATGACCCGGACAACGCCCGGGTTTTACCCGATTAAATGCTTTTATTCAAATACTATTCGTTACAATTATAAATTGGCGCCGTGGATGTCATTCTTGTATAATATATAAATGAGTTTTAAAAATTGTAAAAAAAAAAAAAATGCATCGGCCGGGAATCGAACCCGGGCCGCCCGGGCCGTGGCAGGCGAGCATTCTACCACTGAACCGCCGATGGTTATGAAAAATCCCATCCGTGAGCTTCAGAAAGACAAACAGACAGAATAAGGCAAATATATAAGTAGATAGAAATAGCTTTCGGAATGATAAACCACGTGTTCTGATTAGATCAAAATTAATTAATCTACTAATTTTGAAGATTTACACTGAACATATTTAAAAAACTTCGTACAAATTTAGTTATCACACGAGAAAATATTCAGTTAGGGATTGCACAAAAACAATTTCCTCGAGTAAAAAAAAGATTCCACAAAGTAGTCAATATACATAAATTTCTGAATTAATTGGATTCATGAAGTTCATTCTTCTTTGGAATTTCTTCTAAATAATATTAATCGTCATTGCGTTTGTATTGAATATCTTATCAATCAAAGCTGAGGTTTATTTCGAACTTTTCATATCCTTGAGTGCAAAATCAATCAAGCTTAAAATGGTTTGTAGAGAAGTGGTATTATAAAATATTTTCGAAAGCCATCACCCGGGATCGAATCCCGCATTGGTCACTTTTTTCCTAAAATAATTACTTCAATGTCTCCCGATACTTGTAAAATAACAACCTAACCAGTGAAGGCAAGTAATCACACGATTATATGGCACTTTGTAGGTAAAAAGTTGAATTACTCTCTATACATGCTGTACACTAACAGTAAACTCAGGTCCTTTCTACCCACCATGACTATCATGTCGTATTTGGGATAGGTAACATCGCATCATAATATGAAGTATCGAAGAGTTTAGTTGAAATATAATCTTCCTTTTTAATAATCTCACTTTATATAGCATATATTCAATCAAGCACATTTGTTAACATATAACATACATTTTGATCCACAGACATAAATATAAAATGTAGATATCATGATTTCAACTCATGAGATGAGTAGTTCTAATTATCTCATGCATTATACTAATGAAATCTGGGCCTAATTATAATTATTTATTTAACTCATGAAATTAGTGGGTGTGATTATCACCATGTATCCAACTCATTAAATGTGCACCTAATTAACCTCATGTGTTCAACTAAGGAACTCTGGGCCTATTTATCATCATGTATTTAGCTTATGGAAGAGTTGGAACTAATTAGCATCGTGTATTTAACCAAGTTAAACACCTTGATTAAGAAGTTTAAAAATTGATTATTTACTTCACTTAGTATTGGCACCTTTTTTTTAATTGAAAGGTCTAACCTTTCAATATATACACGCAGTCTAGTACAAGCAATTACCTTCGTGAAGACCAAACTACACTGTAAAGTGGACCGCCAGATGTCGCGGCTATCCCTATATAAACCCATTGTTTTGGTTTGGCCAGCTCAAATATTTTGTAATTATGTAAATACGTATATAATCTCTTATTTTATTTATTCTATTCGCCTTAATTCAGGTAGTACTTTCTTCAATTAAACTGGCGAAACCGCTAGGAGGGTTCACTACTGATGAGTTAGGCCCTCCCATTAATTTTTCCATTGCAGTAAGTGCAGTAGAAATTGTTCAATTTCAAAAAGAATCGTACGCTTTTAAAATAGTTTCAAATTTTGATAACAGATGGCACGCTAGTGCATCATATTACTGTACACGCTTGTTCGGCGGTACATATACTAAAATTGGAACGATACAGAGAAGATTAGCATGGCCCCTGCGCAAGGATGACACGCAAAATCGTGAAGCGTTCCATATTACTGTAGATATGTTTAATTTAAACTATTTTGACAATTATTTTTAAAATAGAATAATTCTCTGGCATACGTGTGAAAAATAATTTTAAAATTTTTAAAATATAACATATCGTATTCAAATTGTAGATATGTGTGTCAAACATATCAGCTTATACATTCTGGCCACATCTTACATGTACTCAGATAAATTGAAGTTATTTGAATACATTTATAAATTACATCGTGTGCCTCACAGATTACTGAATACGAAATGCAGTTTTATGAGAATTATTATTCCAGTAATCTGTATTTGTTATGCTATGAACACCAACAAATGAAGATTAAGGTATCTCACTGGCATTCTGATATTTCACATTTTGAAACATGTCGTTCAGCTCCCTACATCGCCAGGGCAATGTCCATAAACAAAAGGTTAATTACACTCCGAGAATTTTCAATATTCAGGAAATGTCTGGCTGGGCACGAGCGGCCCATGTAGAACAGGACTCCATTATGTGTCCCATTAGTCCTTCGCTAGCGATGAGCTGCATGACCAATTAGATCATAAATCCTTCGTCCTTGAGAGTTGCTGACTAATTAAGAACTTTCATCTTCAAATTAAAATATTATCACCATAATATACTCCCTATTCAGTTTTTGAATCATGATATTGGAATTCACTATCATCAATAGTTTCTTTTATCATATTGTAAAAATATTAACACTTTTTTTTTTCAAAATTAGAAACTATTTCCAAAGCGTAAGATTCTTTTTGAAATTGAACAATTTCTACTGCCCTTACTGCAATGGAAAAATTAAATTTTGATAACAAGTGGCGCGCAAGTGCATCGTAATATAAATATAAACTTTTTTTTTATTTATCCTTTTATTAGTCTAAATTAGACAGGATCCTAGAGGTCGTGCTCATAAAGAAGTTCAAGAACTCTTCTTGGTTCTCTGTACAGGGATCCTTTGTCCTTTCCAATACAATTTAGTATATGCTGGGAAGTAGCCTCTTCGGTTTTGCACCTAGTGAACATGGGAAGGTTTTTGGCTCTCTCTTTATAGATCAGAGGGCGCAGGTGACGAGATTTCCATCTGGCCAACTCCCTTCTGTTTAGTTGGAGGGTCTGTTTTTATTAGCACTATAACTTTTTCAAGAATAGAAGTTCTTTAACAGACTCTCATTTATAAAACACAGATATATCTGATATACACATGTGTATAATGTCATATTGGAATTCTCATCAAACATCCTACTGCTCTCGCATGGATTAATACAGAGAACATTTGCTGGTACTTTTTGTTCCAACTAGACTCTCAACAAATTTATAACTGGCTAAATAATGTGCTGGCTAACACTTTACTTTTATATATATTAAATTACATAAAAAACACTAGTGATATACGAAGTGGATTAATATATTTTGTGACTTCTATTGAACTGGGTAAAAAAACAACAAATTAATCAAACCACAAGGCTGTTTTCCTTAGGCAACCGTCTACCCTTATTTTATCCAAGTATAAAACTTTAAAGATTCCTAATAATTATCATATTACTGTTTTGAGAATAGAGCAATCCATATATAAATTTATTAAATAAAAAGGCATATATTGGATCAGAATATTTATTATATCAATATTTCAGTTGGCTCAACGCAACCTTTATCAAGGTATTATAACATAAAGTGTGTCAACAACAAAAAAAAATATATTACTGTGTATTTTACAAATAATTGTTATTTACGAAGGTAATTGCTTGTAATCGATTGCGTGATAAAAAAGTAAATAAAGATTCCAGGGTTAAGTTTCTTGTTCAAATTTTTATTTTCAAGCTTTCGGACTTGTCAGTCCTTCAACAGGAGTATCACGTTAATAAATTGATGATATATATACTATTTTTATACTCTAATTATTTTTTGCCTATTTAATTATTAATGATATTGAAAGGAGGAGAAAATATATATTACCTTCTTTGTGTGTTATAAACAGTTTTTGTAAATATACGTGCATGGGTGGAGGCTACGTATTAATTTATGCTAAGCCCCTCCTTTAATTTTACCTCTTATTTGATACACCATGAATAACATTTCAACACAATTGGGATATTTATTGTTTATAAAACTTAGTTTTGAAGTCCGAGCTTGCCCATTTATATCAACACATTATAGCAAACGTTAAGCTCTCTAATTATATGCTAAAGTTGAAGATTCTAATGAGAGTTGATCACTATAATAGATAAAGGAAGATTGTGTCTCACATTTCCAGAACGCCATTATAGAAGTTGAAGGAGCAGAACTTAAGAATAACGTTGGAGCGACGGAGCGCGACTTCTCTTTTTTATCTTTTAAATAATATCTTAATTACGGCGTGTAATTATAAAAGACGACATCCAGAATCTTTTTAAAATGGAAACTGGGATTAGAATGTAATTTTAGAACTCCTTCTCTAACATTTTAATGTCGAGTTATACGTAGATTTTAAAGGAAATGTGTATATAGTAATAAAGCTTTTATAACCAAGTATATCCTATAGCGAAATGAATTATAAACTTATTTGTTTTTATATATGTTATAATGAAATATATAGTCGGATTACTGTTATATTGAAATTTTAGATTACCAATGAAATTTTTATTTTCTTGTTTTGATGATACATGAGTAGTTTGGTATTGCTTTGTTGCAGACGTAAACTTCTTAAAAATACAATATATTCAATTTGAATCACAATTTGCTTTAATTGTGCTAATGAAGTATTGACAACATAATTTGATAGAGTATCATCTGATTTAAGGCGAGTAAAATAAATAAAAAAAATTAAATACATATTTACATAATTACAAAATTTTTGAGCCGGCCAAAGCAAAACAATAACAATGAGTTTATATAGGAAAAGCCGCGATATCTGGCGGTTGACTTTACACAGTAATTTGATCTAAAAATTAAAATTTTATATAAAATGATTTTTATATAATACTAGGCGAATGACCCGGCTTCGCCCGAGAAATCCCTTTAGTGCAATTTCCTTCATACTAAAAGTATATCAATATTAAATGTTAGAAGTGCCATAGAATAGCAATACAGAAGTAACACATAAACTACAGGAAAAAAGTGTGTGTGATGGCAAAAATTGTATTATATTAGTGTTTAGGTATTTGATTTAATTAATATAGTTGATATAATAAGTTTAAAATAATGAGTTTTAAAAATTGTAAAAAAAAAAATGCATCGGCCGGGAATCGAACCCGGGCCGCCCGCGTGGCAGGCGAGAATTCTACCACTGAACCACCGATGCTTTTAAAAAATGGCCATATTTGAGTATTCATTCCTTTCCGGATTAGT